TCTCTCTCTCTCTCTCTCTCTCTCTCTCTCTCTCTCTCTCTCTGTGTGTGTGTGTGTGTGTGTGTGTGTGTGTGTGTCTGAGCCACAAGAAAGGGACGAGCTCAAAAGGACATTGTAGCAAGCCTTGCACCCGAAAGGCACAGGCAAAGATCAAGCTCAAAAGAGAGAAGAAAAATCAACCCGATTCTACACAGAAAACGCCAGAAGGAAAGATTTCACTGTGCCTCACCAGCTATCCGCTCTTTTGTTTATTTGGCGCTCTCTCTCTCTCTCTCTCTCTCTCTCTCTCTCTCTCTCTCTCTCTCTCTCTCTCTCTCTCTCTCTCTCTCTCTCTCCCCACACACATACGCACAAACACTCCAACACATTTTGCGCAGTTACGAGAAATGTCAAATCGGGCTGCTCGTGGATTTGCACGAACAGTCGACACCTCATTTATGATTTCGAAAACTACGAAATAATATTCACATCGAATAGAATATTCACGTTTCGAAAAATCAAGCAAACGATAAGAGTGTCTTTGGTCCCTCCCCATCGGAAGCGACATGTTTTTTTCTTCTGAACGCAATTAATATTCACAAAACCGGCCGAAATAGGCCAGACTCACACCAGCCTCCCCTGGGCAATATAATGACCTTCAGCACGGTAGCAATCTCTCTCTCTCTCTCTCTCTCTCTCTCTCTCTCTCTCTCTCTCTCTCTCTCTCTCTCTCTCTACGAGGAGCTCTTTTGTGCCGAAACAAGGAACGCTAAAGCGCGTCCTTCAATTGCCGCACTCCACGCAAGCGCCAGGTGCTGCCCAACCCGTACTACCAGAGAACGAAACTCCGACACACACAACGGCCCGCCATAGTTAACACGGAGCCTACCATAGTCGTCACTCTTAAAGGAACAATGCATCTGGATGCCTAAGAACTTCAAGGATATATACACGTGCGCCCAAGGTTTGCACGGCTCCCGACACCAGGCACATCGCCTACTGAAGTCCGAAGCATCCGGCGAGGCAGGTATGATCAGCTGCACTGCACGGATGTCTCCTCATTTCTCAGCATCGCGTCCTGCACTTACCACCGCAGCACCGCTTTCCCTTGGGGCAATGCTTGTCGACGCAGCACTTGCTGCATTTCCCATTGGGGCACCGCACAAGCCCACGACGACACGCGCACGCAGCCGATGACTTGCATTGCCCAAGAACGCACTTCTTTCCTTTGCCGCAGTCTTTGTCGTCGCAGCACTTGACACACGCACCAGCCGCCTTACAGCGCTTCAATCCCGCGGCACATGCGGGGATGCCGCACGGCTTGCACTGTCCCGAAACGCACTTCTGTCCGCGAAGGCAGTCCGCATTCTTGCAGCACTTCACACACTCACCTCCGACGGTGCACCTCTTCAGCCCCACAGCACACGCCCCCACGCCCGCCGGCTTGCACTGCCCGGCGACGCACTTCTTTCCCTTGCCGCACTGCGCATCCTTGCAGCACTTCACAATCTTGCACTGCCCGGAAACGCACTTCTTACCACTGCCGCACTCCTTGTGTTTGCAGCACTCCACGCAAGCGCCACCTGCGCTGCAGCGCTTCAGTCCAGCGGCACACGCAACCACGCGGGCAGGCTTGCAATGTCCAGCAACGCAGGTTTTGCGGCTGCCGCAGTCGCAGTCCTTGCAGCACCTCACACACGGGCCGCCGACCGTGCAACGCTTCAGCCCGGCAGGGCAAGGCTTCGGCGCCACGGCAGGTTTGCACACACCTTCGGTGCACTTCTGGAATCTGCGGCAGTGGCTATTGCTGCAGCAATCCACACACGGGCCGTCAGGGACACATCGCTTTTGCGTAGCTGCGCATTCTTTCGGCCGCATGTGGCACTCTGTGCCGTTGCAAACCATCTGGAGTGCCTCGGTCGTGCTCAGGAAGCAACCTACGAGCAAGGCCAAGCCCGCAAGGCACCGCAAGCAACCTACGGACGGAGAACCCATCGTGGAGAGATGGAGCTTCGCTTGACTAAAAGACGACTCTGAAGTCCAAACACGTGGGTCTGCACCCACAACACCGTTTTCTCCTGCAACCGCACAGTGAACAGCAGAAGTCGTCCGTCACTTGGGGTTATATCAATAATCAATGTCCATTTCCAAGCAACACAGAATCGGGTCATGCGGTCAATCCGATTACGGAGGAGGCACAGCGGGCAAGGAACTATTCTGAACAAACATGATTCAAAAAGCAGGAAACGCAGCTGCAAAATCCCTAGCATAATTCGCACACAGGAGCTCTTTGCGTATGATATTTTGGCGCGACGGACACATTCAAGGATAGAAGGAAATCAATAGACAACAAAAACAGATGGACGTTTTACATGGTTCAACAGCTCGCAGGCATCTTGGTCTCGTACAGTACCATTTGGCTGTCTCTTATACACATCTAGATGTGTATAAGAGACAGCGTTTTACATGGTTCAACAGCTCGCAGGCATTTTGGGGCCTCGCCACACGGCACACGAAGCGAAAACGAAACGAGTGCATCTGCCCACGAAAGATGGCAAAATACACTCGTTACTATTTATAGCAAACCGATGAACCTGGCCATTCTCTGCAGAAAGATGCAATCGTTTCGTTTTCGTTTCGTGTGCCGTGCGGCGACGCCCTTGGTCTCGTACAGTACCATTTACTACTCTCACAGTTCTCGAATACGCTTTGAAATTCGTCTTATCAGACGTTTCCCTCACAACCTTGAAACGTCAAGTTCTTTTTTTTTTTTAAACCGGCGGCCATACTATGCTAATGCTCGCGGACAATCCCATTTCTAGGAGGCACAGCGGGCAAGGAACCATTCTGAACGAACATTCGAAAACTCGACGGAAAGGCAGCTGCAGAGTCCCCAACATAATTCGGACACAGAGGAGCTCTTAGCGTATGATATTTTGGCGCGACGGACACATTCAAGGATAGAAGGAAATCAATAGACAACAAAAACAGATGGACGTTTTACATGGTTCAACAGCTCGCAGGCATCTTGGTCTCGTACAGTACCATTTGGCATTTACTACTCTCACAGTTCTCGAATACGCTTTGAAATTCGTCTTATCACACGTTTCCCTCACAACCTTGAAACGTCAAGTTCTTTTTTTTTTTTAAACCGGCGGCCATACTATGCTAATGCTCGCCTGTAAGCACAAAAACACGTTTCCCGCCCGGATGCACCTCGTTGGAGCGATGTGATTTCTAAACTACACGCCTCTACGTTTCCTGCCAAATCTACCTTACTGTGCCTCCCGACCTGTCTATTCCTCTACCCTGATCCTGTGTATTCCACACGGCGCCAAATCCCTATGTGATCAGTCTTGCACCTCAAAACCACGTATTTTATCATCATTAAAAAAAAAAAACGAAAAGAGCAAATGAAAATAAAAACAGAGAGCAAGCATAAGACAACGGAGGTAGGAAACTGCGGCCACCAATCAGAGAAGGCCCTCCTTCAGGGTACACCCCACTTTTTCAATTCCCTACCTTTCATCAGAAATCTCCCCAGGCGGAGCAAAGCCCCCGCTTACCACCGGCCACCCTGGCAAACCTTGCTAGAAATCCGAGGGGGGGGGGAGAGAGAGAGAGAGAGAGAGAGAGAGAGAGAGAGAGAGAGAGAGAGAGAGGCTCTCCTGTCTATACATACACGAACGTGAAGCTTGCGACTTGGGACACAGAGAGAGAGAGAGGGGAGTAGATCGGCCTCTCTCTGTAGAATGACGGTCGACGTCGATCTACATCAGTCAGTCAAACGATGCAGCACGTCAGCGTCCTCCACAAGAGGCACGTCTCTCTACCTGACGACATAGACACGCCAAAGTAATCAACGTAACTCGAGTCAATCTGACATGATTACCTAGGTAATTCGACTGCCGGCCGTTTCATACCCGACTATGTCGAGCCCAGAAGCTCACACGATTCGAATTCCATCGAGTCAATGAGACATCATCTCCCTTTGTTTAACTATTACGGTTATCCCACACGTGCCGACTCAATAAGAGCTGCTTCTTTACCACTAAGTCAATTGGAAATTATTAGACTCCCATCTGTTTCATACCCACTATTCCGGGCCCAGCAGAATCTCACACGATTGGAAATGCATCGAATCAATCGGGCATGATCTGCTTTGTTTAACCGTTACGGTTGTCCCACGTTTGCTACTCCGAACGTATAATTCGACTCAATCAGATTTGCTTCGTTCCCACTAAGTTAATTGGACTGCCGCCAGTTCCATACCCGACTATGCCGGGCCCAACAGAAACTTGCACGTTTCGAAACACATCAGAGGTAAGCGCAGTTCAAAATTAATGCGCATGGTCTCCCCCGCAGTTCTGCCGTAGCGAAAGAAAGAAAGAAAGAAAGAAAGAAAGAAAGAAAGAAAGAAAGAAAGAAAGAAAAGAAAGAAAAGAAAGAAAAGAAAGAAAAGAAAGAAAAGAAAGAAAAGAAAGACACAGATACACAAGTTATCCCACCATAGCACACAGTGCCAGAGACCATTCAGCTCATTGGCATGCGAAGGCTATGAAAAAAAGAAAAAGAAAAAAAAAGGCTAGGAATGGTCTCCGCCGCAGTTCTTCCGTAGCGAAAGAAAGAAAGAAAGAAAGAAAGAAAGAAAGAAAGAAAGAAAGAAAGAAAGACAGAGAAAGAAAAAAAGAAAGAAAGAAAGAAAGAAAGACAGAGAAAGGAAAAAAGAAAGAAAGAAAGAAAGAAAGAAAGACAGAGAAACACAAGTTATCCCGCCATAGCAGACCGTGCCAGAGACCATTCAGCTCATAGGCATGCGAAGGCTGGGGAATGCATGTATTCATTCTAGTACCTGTGCTCCGCAGTGAAAGTCGGACGCCAACGTCCTAACGCTCCGTCAAGTTCACATCCTGCTGGTTGCGGTGGGCTTTCTTTATTTATATATCCTCTCTGTCTATCTCAAGTCCAACGCTGCTCCCTCGCACAGACTGCCCAGGGGCCAGGTCCCACTTACACGAATTAAGCGACATTGACCGTAGATTGCAAAGATCAACGGCCAGAATCTCTTAATCAGTCCAAGTGGGACCTTGCCCCAGCATGACCTTCTGTTTGTTTTTTTTCCTTTTTTCTTACTTTTTTTTCCTTTTCCCGATGGACAGATACTACACGTGGCCTTAGCCAAAAGGCCGAGAACCCCGTAGATCCAGCGGCCTGGCTCAGTTACCATCGAATTTTCAGATCGGAACCGGGAATTTTCAAGTGTGCCGCCGGTCTCCCTGCTATCCGATCTGAAAATTCCACGGCCACGGTGTGACCACGTTGAAAAATACACGAAACATAAACCAAACCCCCGCCAGTGGGACATGGCCCCAGGCCAGGCGTCCCTTACAAGAATTTTGCAGGTCTGCCTGCGAGCTCGGCATGATCGGCCAATGCTCAAAGGGGCGCCCACAGCAGATGTCCCGACCCCATCACCTTTCTTTTTTTTTTTCTTTTTTTTTTTCCCATCACCTTTCGACCTGGCTGGGTCTAGTGGACTTGCTGAGAGAGACTCCCAGACGGATGGGACACTTCCCTTCTTTCGAACACCACTGGGGCATGATTGGCATCCCTCGCCGAACGGCCGATCTTTCGGTGCGCGTGTTTCATCTCGGCATGCACCTGGCCACCTTCACGGTCAAGATACAGTCGCCTTTTCTCACGCTGTCTCGTATGCGTGTTCTCTTTTTCTTTGTTGTTGGGATATGCGGGTTTTCCTTCGTTCTCACGTTTTCTTCGTCGTTTCCACAGAGAAATTATAAAAAACAAAGACGCCGAAGAAGACAGAATACGGTGGCAAAACAAAACAAAAACAAAAGAATACGGTGGCACTCCTGCTTGTGCTCAGCCACAGGAGTGACGCCTCGTCAGCGCGTTTTCGGTGCCGCGACGACGGGAGCTACACACGAAAGGCGGGAGCCGGACACAAGAGGCGGGAACCGCACACGAAAGGCGGGAACCGTCCGTGCTACTTTCTGTTTTCGGCGGAGCGTACTCACTTGCAGACGCGTCGCTCGCTCTTTGGTACTCCGCTTGCTTGATACCCCCCGCCCTTTTCTTTTTTCCCGCCCTTTTCTTTTTGTTTTTCTTTTCCCGTTAATTTCAACCATTTCTCGAACTATGTGTGTCATCCTTGGGCGGGCCATGCTGTAATCTTCTCTGTATCGTTCTCGATTTACGTGTGTCAGCCTTGCACGGGCGAAAGCCCCACTAGCAGGGGTATAGGCTTAATTTCGAGTGCGAACCAGTCCCTGCCATCGATCTAAACATCTCACGGCCGCACTGTGGCCACGTTGCAAAATGCTGGAAAGGAAGACTCAACCCCTGCTAGTGGGACTTAGCCGCTGGAGGACCTTTCCTTTTTTCATTAAAAACGTTGTGGCCTGACCTTCCTTCCTGCTGCTATAGGAGAGCCTACAGGAACGTGGTGAGACCTCCGATGGCTTCTGTCTATTGGTGGGGAGCTGCAACGATTGGAACCGGGCACAGCGTCCCAGGTCACACCCCCTGCTCGTTTCCAGGTGCACACCCTGCAGTATTCCTTTCTCTCTCTCTCTCTCTCTCTCTCTCTCTCTCTCTCTCTCTCTCTCTCTCTCTCTCTCTCTCTCTCTCTC